CATGTAGCTAGGTACATTTGAAGTACAATGTAGATGTTACTGTATATTTGAGTTCGAGATACAATCTGATCTCTTCCAGATAGGTAACTTTGTGATGCATGTTCACCTGTTGACTTGTTCGTCTCAATTGACTTGAATTTAGTAATGCATGGTAATGACATGCTGTGTGCTATTGTCACGTTGTTATAAATTACTTCTCCTATGTCGACATTGCTAGTAAAATATAAATGTTTTGGACGGTGCACGTTAGTAGTTTCGTTCTGTGTGGTGTGTGCGAGTACGAGTGCATGTGGTGTCCTTAGGAATGGTCCCATGTGTTCTAAGTGCGCTGGAGTACTGCCAATTATGTACCAGGTCACTGCCCAAAAGGCATGGCTTGGTGCATATTTGGCAGTGCACCAGCGTACGTAGTACGCCTGGGGTCATTCCTAATGGGCATGGGTACGCCGTACCCGGGCATTATCGTCTGATAATGCCCTGGTACGGTGCTGCTCTGATTGGCCAAATGCTAGCAACGACCTGACAACAGGCACGTGACATGTATGAAAACCTGATAACATTAACAGACTCAGTGTATACCAGGGAGTCGTACTCAAACTAGGGTAGTAGGGAGGTGACACGGCACAGAAATCCGTGTCACAGGGGTTGACTCGCACCCGTGACCCCTCGTTGTTATTTTTGGAATAGTTCAGGCCAGTCCAGTCCGAAAGGTCATACTCGGATCGACTCGCCTTCTGTACTTCACCTCCAAGCGTGCAGCATGGGTGTCTAGTTTTTGAAATTATCGAGGCAGCACATTTCGTTTACAGCCCATAGTAGTAGTAGTAGTAGTAGAATTTATTATTTTGATAGGGAAGGCCCTACAGACGTTGCCGTCTTGTTACAGGGAACCCTAAGTGCTCTTTACAGAGCGAAACAAAAACGGATAGATGCTCAACCTGACGACACGAGACAGGCAGAGAATTCCACCTATCAGCGCCAAGGAAAGAAATGGAGAACATGCCATATCTAGTGGTAGCAGCGGGCAAAGAAAGTGAAGAGAATGATTGCCCTCTAGTGCGCCTCTCGGTGCAAGTAGCAGCCGACTGGAGGGTGAACATTGAGGAAAGAAGAGGACTTGTAAGCTGATGAATACAGCGGAAAACAAAAATAAAAAGCCTCAAGTTGAGACGAGATTCGAGGGAGTATAACTTAGCGTGCCGCAAAACAAAGACAGTCGGGGTACGGCGAGGGAGACCAAAAACCTGTTTCATGCTGATATGACTTAAAGTAACAAGGCGAGAGTATAAAGATGGTGTAAGACAGTGAGCATACGAGTTGCTGGCGTATTCAATAGTGGATTGGATGAGGGATAAATAAAATATTCGCTTAGTTGTGTGATCTACTGTACGGCGGCAGCGGCGGAATGCTCCTATCTTCTTATAAACAGATGTACACACATGGTTGACTTGATCCTCAAAGGTGAGGTGTTGGTCAATAATGAGGCCAAGATAACGCGCTGTGGCAGAAGGTCGAATATCGACACCACCGCATGCAATGGTAAGATCCGGCGGAAGAGGCAGAGCCTTCTTCCGAAGCACCATGAACTTCGTTTTCTGGGCATTCAAGATGAGACCAATGCTTCCAAGGTACGTATTTAGTCTGTTCAACTCACTTGTCAACTTGTGCTGAAGTTCTCCAGTAGACTGACAGTGTATATAAAAGGCGATATCGTCAGCATACTGTTGGGACTCTGCGTGGCGAAGTACTCCAGGGACATGTCGCACGTACAAAGAGAATAACAGAGGCCCTAGCACCGACCCTTGCGGAACGCCTCGTGTACAATGTGTCTCGTCTCCTCTGTTATTTCCAATTTTCACCTGTTGTCGTCGACCCTGGAGATAGCTGGAGAACCACTGTAGTGCTACTCCGCTTATGCCAATAGCTTGAAGCTCGTTAAGTAGTAGTTCATGGCGTACCCGATCGAAGGCCTTGCTCATGTCCACGAGTACAACCCCGCAATACTCGCCCTTGTCCACACTCATCATCCAGCGGTTTACTGCGAGAGTTAACGCATCCTCACAGGAGTGCCCTCTGCGGTAGGCGAATTGCTCGTCTGGGAGAATACGAAGCTCAGCGTGATCTTGAAGGAACCTAATCATTTGCCGATGTACTACCTTCTCAAGGATCTTAGAAACAATCGGCAAAAGTGAAACGGGGCGATAATTCGACGCTTCAGATTTGTCCCCTGACTTGTGGACAGGACACACTGTAGCCAATTTGTAGACGTCTGGCACCATTCCAGTACTCAAGGACTCGTTTATGATCTGCGCTATGGGACCTGCAGCGGCAGGCTCACAGAGGCGTAGGAGCAGAGGAGGAATGTCATCCGATCCAGCTGCCTTGGCACAGTTCAAATGCTTCAACAGGTCGCTTATCTCCAGAGCTGAAACGGCACGAAATTCTTTAAAAGATGGGGCGTCTCACTCGCCAGTATTCTTTGAAAGACTACCAGCAATTTGTTTACCTCCTGCCATGTCCGAACTACTTGATAGCAGTGATGGCAACAGCAGCAGTTATGAGACAGCGTGTAGTGTTACGGTAACTGTTCAGAACTGTTCAGAGTCGTATCCTAGGTTAATCCGAATACTAAAAATTGACCCAAATTGCACATAACACGAAGCTGGTTTTTGAAAATTGTAAGTCGTGTATCTGCCCCATTTCTTCTTTATGACTTGCACAATACACCAGTCTTCCTAAACAACACATTTATAGCAGGGGTACCATACAAGAGAGCTACATTGTACATCTAGTCATACTGTCATAAACAGCCAGCATTTTTCCTGCAGCAGTCACACCACCATCATCATTATTTCCAGGGAAATCCTCTTACATTGTCAGCTCCTACGTCGTTAGATACAATGTAGGGGGCTGTAGGACCGGCTCGTCAAAAATAGAGAACCTGAACAAGCGTGCTCGGGACGTCTCAGCAATCGTAGTATGCTTGAGCACTCCTATAAAAACTTGATCAATGGCAAAATCGTTCCCCACAGAAAAATCATACTTTGCGGGTTTTGCGTTGCACGCTTGGAGGTGAAGTACAGAAGGCGAGTCGATCCGAGTATGACCTTTCGGACTGGACTGGACTGAACTATTCCAAAAAAACAACGAGGGGTCACCAGGTCACGGGTGCGAGTCAACCCCTGTGACACGGATTTCTGTGCCGTGTCACCTCCCTAGTTTGAGTACGACTCCCTGGTGTATACCAACCCGAAATCGGGTTTTCCTTTGCTCGAGATAGCTGTTATATCTCCGCTCTCCGCTCCTCATACAATCCCCACTTCACATCACAATGCATCATTGCATGTGAAATGGGCAATTATTCTAACGAGGCGCATATTATAATTAAAAAAAACGATATCCCAAAATTGACTAGTTTACGTGTACCAAGGCAAAGGTAACGATTCTCACTCATTCTCAACGCTCAATAGGACAGTATATGTGTCGATTTCTGTATAACGATTTCTATTTTAAAGACAGATTTCTCCTCGTTAACTCGTTAGAGTTAGCACTTCGTTATAAGAACTTTGCTAGGCTGGCCCTCTGAAACCGCGTTCTTGGGCGTACGAGTCTACTGTAGCTAGACTCCAGCCTAGAGTACTGTATGGCTTTTACAGTTCTTACGTGTATTTTTCAGCGCCCCAGGCTCGTTCTTATTTCGCGTTCTTACGCGAGACCAACGCATATGGCCGATTGGTTTGCAGGCCTGCCTGCGAATCATGAGGTCCCGAGTTCGAGACCCGCGCTATAGTGGTAGCATGCGCTAGCAGGGAGCGTGTAAAGAATTTTTACGTGAGTAAAGACTTTTTATGCGTGGTGAACTGCGCCGACGCGACACCCACGGTCAACTGGGTACTCACAGCTCGGAGTGAGGGTAACAAGGATGCAGTTTACAGGGTTGGGCCGTTTATACACGCTCGATTGGTTGAGAGACTCACCTACTCTCCCCTGACTCACTTGTGAGGTCTGCATTCGCCACTAAGGTGTGCAAGGCATAGGCATAGTGGTGGCCTGCGGAAGCGAAGGCTAGTTTGTGTGTTTCTGAACATTCAAGCGATGCCAACGCGAATCCCGCGAATTATTATTACGCGTCCAACATGACCCGTGCATGACGCTCATTATGTACAAATTAATACTACAATGCACTTTGCGCTACCGGATGTACACTTTACATGCACGTGTAGTCTGTCCCCGGGGAAAATTGCGGAAAAAAATCGCAAAAAACGCGGGGAAAAACGCGGCATAATATGGCATAATTTGCGGTGAATTTGCGGTAAATATGCGGTAAATATGCGGTGAATAATATTGATGTGCGGCAATTTTCAGTGAGTATGTAGTGAAATCAATCAGTTACAAGTCTCTGGTGTAAGCACTCGTCATATTTGAGTAAAAAGCCGCCACGATGAGACGTTGCTGACCGAACAGTGCACTGTGTGTACGTGTAGTGCGACAAAAAAGTTCAAAAAACGCGGGAAAATCGCGGAAAACGCGGTCTTTTAAAAAATCGCAAAAAACGCGGAAAAAAACGCGGCCGCGGAATTGCAATTTTCCCCGGGGACAGCGTAGTATGTAGCGCTGCACTGGGTACATGGGTGATGTTTTCGCGAGGACCCGACAAGAGTTTGTGGTTGCGGACTTGTTTTTCGTGTACTCGAACAAGAAAATGTCGCGTTCTTAAACCCTTTCAGGACGGACTTGATTCAGTTCTTAAAAATCTTGGAGCTCGTTCTTAAATCCAGGCTGGGGCGTTCTTAGATTTCCAGCCTGGACGTTCTTGGGCGTACGAGTCTACTGACAGTCTGTAGCTAGCTAGCTAGCTCTCCACGACTCCAGGCTGTAGCTAGGAAGCTATCGATATCCATCTGTATGATCATCACCAGTCCATCAGTGGCATTACCATGATTACAGCATTAGTATTACATGTACCATCCACCATTCCCCCCAACACTGGCAACACTCCGTTTAGTTGACAGAGACAATGGCTGTTAATGTTATGTACCGGTATGAGTAAGACCAGGGAGTCGTAAAAGCCTCCCTGAGTAGGAGTATGAGTATGAGTATGACTATGAGTATGAGGCTACAACTTAAAAAAGTACAAGTACAACAGTATGTCCTGCGAAGTCCACATGTCGTCATGTCAGATTGATCTACTATTTTAACGGCAGTAATGACGGTGGGGTTACCATGGTTACGTTACATGTAACTGCTTTGCATTGTGTAGAGGTCTACTCTTGGGAAGTTAAGTCTTGGGTACTACGGCAGTGCTAGCTCGAGTTATTCAAGTAGATGTAGCTGGTTCACTACACCGCTGACCTGCTAGCAGTAGCAGTTGCTAGTACTATTCTAGTCTAACATTTCTGACCTCTACGTACCCTAGGTTGGCACTGACTGTGTGAAGTGAGAATACATGCATGCATGTACCTCCAATGATTGATTTTGATTTCAAATGATTCTAGAAAGTTGGTTTCTCTCCGCACCGGAGATCACGCTTTCCACTGATTTGACAAGTTTCCTATGAAATCATCGCAGATAGAAGTCGCTACCCGATTACTAGTATCTCCTTCAAATAATTCATTATTTTTACCATTGAAAGCGATATAGCGATACTTTGCAGCTGGGAGAAGTGCGATCAAAATAACCCTATCTGTTAAACGAATGCTCGGCCTAAATTCCTATAATTTAGTACACTGGTTAAAAATAATTACAGCCTCGGAAAAGGAAATAAATACAATCTGAAAACAGACCTAAACGAAGAGAATACTTTTATGCTGTTACGAAACGATGAATTATTTCCACAATATAATCGTATGTTTGGCTGTTGCAGGATGCCACGCCAATTGGGATAGGATAAATTAATACATTGCCGTTTCAAGCTTGAGCAGAGTCAATGTCGTTGCTATATTTGGCGATTCATATGTGCTGCATGATGATGCTCCATGATTGCTTGCGTCTATATGCTTTTGCAATACTACCGTACGGTGTGTTGCGGCTCTTGTTACATTATCATGCAGCTATTGTGCTGCCTTCCTGGTGCTGCCCAAGGACTCCTGATTCTTATGCGGTTACCGTGCAGTTCAGCGGAGCTCATTCCGCTGCTACATGTGCTCCAGCGACAGTGCCTGCAGAAGCGCTTGGTGATCGGACACTTTGCGAATTGGCCAGAATATCAGGTCAAGCTGCGACAGAGAAGATCAGATATATGGCAAACCAGAGTGGACACACCAAAACATACACATTCAGTCTGTGAGCTCGTGAGAAGAAAGAAGATACTGTAAACTAATCAGACCATGAGCGCGTGTTGATAGTGTTGATAGTGTTGATAGCGCCATGAATGCTACAAGGTATCACAAAGGACAGAGTCAGCTGGACATGCTAGAACAGTCTGTTGGCTGGTGAGCGATTTTCGCATGAAATTCAGAGTCACAAATTGGCCCTGTGTTCACCACGCCTGGAGTCTGTACCGTCTCAATCACCAGTTACCCCACCAACAGACCAGGGAAGTGTTTTCTCCCGGCCCCAGTACTTCTAGAACTGCATGTATACTGTAAGCATCGAGCCATTGTGCCAGGACCATACACAATTGGTAACACCTGGGGCTGGGCCCATACACACTGGTAACACGCGGGGGGGGGGGGGGGGCATACACACTGGTACCACGCGGGGGCTGGGCCCATACACACTGGTAGCACACAGGCACATTGACAACATACATACCTTGCGACTCGCTGCTTCCTCTTCTCCGCCATTGCCTATGACCAAGTAGGTGCACTTGCCTCCAAAGCGTGCCTTGATTCTCTCAATGCATGCCTCTTTCCCTGTGTCGAACATGACCGAGAGTGACGCACAAACAATGAGCAGACACAAGGCAACACAGATGCGATCATGAAACCCACATACTAGTAGTCCAGCACTACTGCAAACCAAACTGGCTAAGACTATAATTTTATGACTCGTGCTGGTCAATTCAAACGCTGCATATGGTTTTATGCACATGATTGAATGCCAGTGACTTCAGGTTTCGTACATACTGAGAATGCACTGTGCAGGTACAGCATGATTGACTCACACCGCACCCAGTTGACTCATGCATGCACTATCCATACAATGGTCAGCCTACCTCTCAGCTAACTCACCACAAGATGCTGAACCGTACACTCCGGACAGCGGGAAGTGAGGCGCCATGCCGTACAGCAGCAACTTGCTAAGCGTGGGCACGAAGTGACAGCTAGACACCACCACATTGCTGCAGTTTGACCTAGACGGCAGATATGTTCACGTACAAAGGACAGCAAGGAAATCAAATACATGTACTATAGTTGCATAGGACTTGGTAAGCGCACACAGCTCACTACGTTCAAGTAGGACTTGGTAAGCGCACACAGCTCACTACGTTCAAGTAGGACTTGGTAAGCGCACACAGCTCACTACGTTCAAGTAGGACTTGGTAAGCGCACACAGCTCACTACGTTCAAATAGGACTTGGTAAGCGCACACAGCTCACTACGTTCAAGTAGGACTTGGTAAGCGCACACAGCTCACTACGTTCAAGTAGGACTTGGTAAGCGCACACAGCTCACTACGTTCAAGTAGGACTTGGTAAGCGCACACAGCTCACTACGTTCAAGTAGGACTTGGTAAGCGCACACAGCTCACTACATTCAAGTATCGTAGTTAGATCATGCCGACTTTGACGCTTGAACTGAAAGTACGTTGTTGATGATTAGACTTTGTCCTCCTAGTCAGTCAATCTCAGCAGTGATGCAACAAATGATGTTTTCTTCGAACGAATTTTCCCTGGAATATTGCTTTGGCGAACGAACGAATATTCTATATTCTTCTGAAGTGGCTCAGGCACTTCAATCAATAAAACCTAATAGTCATATCGTCTACAGAACACGTGGATATTAAATATCTCTCTCCCATCCTCCCTCCCTCGCTCTCTCTCTCTCTCTCTCTCTCTCTCTCTCTCTCTCTCTCTCTCTCTCTCTCTCTCTCTCTCTCTCCCTCTCTCTCATTCTCGCTCTCTCGCTTTCTCTCTCTCTCTCTCTCTCTCTCTCTCTCTCTCTCTCTCTCCACACGCAGGCACACACGGTCTTTCTCCCAGTCCTGTTTCATCATGTCGTCAATCGTTTGGTTGTCTCTTCCCTCGTCATTCTCTCCAATACTAATTCATGCCTTCCCCAACCCACCTCGTCTTGCTGTAAGTGACGACCAGGGCGTTGCATGAGAGTTGAACACTACCAACAAAACTTCACTGGCATATGCTTGTGAACATGCCACTGGCCATGATGAATATGCAACTGACCCAGGCGTGGACTTGCAAGTGACCAACTATCATCATTCCCTTACCTTGAACTAATGAGTGCAAGACACCTCAGTACAGTTCGATGCCAACTCTCTGCATTCTGATCAAGTTCTTGCTGTAACTGTTCATTCTCCTTTACCTGGTCCATTGGCAACAGATCTAAGAAATCAGAGAGAGAGAGAGAGAGAGAGAGAGAGAGAGAAAGAGAGAGGAGAGAGAGAGAGAGAGACAGATAGGTTGAAACAGACAGAGACAAACGTCCCACACGTACATGTATTTCGTCCATACACGGTCCCACAGTCATATATCTCCAAGTATGGGCATTATTAGTCCATTGAGTTGTGTGTTGCATGACTGTCACACACCCGGCTAATCAATACCCTATGTACTACACGTGCCTGCATACCTGTCAGTGCTGTTGTCCTTGCACGGCTCCATGTGTTCTGTATCTGCAAGTAACGATTGGCTAGCTGCCGGTACCATTGCTGCTGGACGGCTGCCTCCATTTCCCCGGATGCCTCGGGCGATGTTGGTGTGAAGCCATCATTTGCAAAGTCATAATCCCTGCACAAAATGCACAAAGGAATTCGCATAGGAACTATTAGAAGTGTGTACATCTACTGGTGACCATATTTAGTAGGCAATAGAAAAAGAGAGAAAAAAGTAGAAGACATATGCCATGGCTTTAGGTGATCAACACCCAGTGATAACGTCATACTTAAAAGGAGTAACAAAATGGAGACCATGAAGTTGGTTGCTCCAACGAGGAGCACACGCTTCTTGCCGAACTTGACACTTGACTGACTCACGACTGCCATCCGGAGCACACGAGGAGCACGTCGCACCTTCCGCTTTCGTTGGAGCAACCAACTTCATGACTGTTACCGCCGAAGTCGCAACTTCTAAGTTCAAAATGGAGACCTTTATAGCAACTATAATTGGAGTTCTGCCAGGGTATGCTCTCAGAAGCTTTATCTGAATGCTTCACATAATGAAGTGCATTCACTGGATCATAAATCAAGTAATGCCGCCATTTTCACATGCATAACCATGTGAGCTGTGGCATGCGTGCCAAAACTTAGTGCACCCGGGAAGCAAGGCACACCAGTGAAAGGGAAATCTTGCCTGATGGCCTGCTCACGCATCCAGTGCAATTGGATAAAGGCACGCAAGTGTGCATGCATGTACTGTGTATAACACGTCTATTTCGGTGAAACTTTTATTTCGGTAATTTCGGTGGAGAAACCAGGCACCTAAATTTAGATTACACCTAAAAGGTTCTAGAGTATGCACTGCTTACGAAGGGTAGGCTGGTCACCAAATAAGCACACCTAAAATTACATGCTGTACTAGTATTCACCACCTCACCGTAGATCTACAACCGTTCCATCTTGAACAACATCCTCAATGTGACACTGGTCAGATTTCTGGAAGAGAGGCACACACAGTAGCCAATAATTATATAGTACTTTCGAGGACACCTGCACTGCAAGTGGCTGTTCTGGATTCGACTGAAGCAGTTAGTCTCTGCTACACTCAGCTACACATACTGTCTACACAGTACTTCCTCCGCCCAAGCAAAATTTTCGCTTATCTTTACACTTTTTACTGATACATTCCAGGTTCTCAGAACGGCTCCTAACGACTCAGAAGCATTTTTACCGTACACACATCTTGTGCCGGATGCAATGAAACACGCTGGCTTTTTGCAACATGACACCTCTGCTCTGTACTCCAGTGGCACTCTAGCAGCACCCACCTTGATCAGTGACTGACTTCGTGTCTTTTTTACCAGGTCACTCGCATTCAACGCGCTCTTCTCTAGGCGTTTCTTTACTCTTTGCCGACTTCGCCGACTTGTTTGGAACTGGTACGCCTGAACCAGCAGATTTGTGGGATGGTGAAGTGCACAAGATGCAAAAATTGCTGCCAGACACCTGTCATTGGGCTGAAGGAGATAAGCGAAAATTTTGCCTGGGCGGAGGAAGTACATGTGTGGTGAAAGTGTGACTGCATAGTCTGATCTTGCTTTTCTGGTCCTCGGCAATTCGCTACTTCCCTCCTCTACCTGGCCAAGGATAGTGGCCATGATTTGCAGCTAACACTCAGAGTACTGCCTTTCAGCCTTACCCACTGACCTCAGCTAACACTCAGAGTACTGCCTTTCAGCCCTACCCGGTACCCTCAGCTAACACTCAGAGTGCAGTTCAGTTACCCGTTTTCCTCGCCCATACGGATACCTTTGATAACAGCAAGCAAGGTCTATCGGTGCAGTATACCCAACGAACTACCAATCACACCAGGTCGCTTACCTCCAGGTCTTTGAGGAAGAAAGAGCTGTCCGACAGAGCAAAGATAAGCTTTTCTAGAGTCCTTCCAAGGTGATCCATGCGGTGGCAGTCCTAAAGGCGCAGTGAAGCACACCGGCAATGCCACAGAAACACATCGAGGTTATACAAATGATGTCACGGTGAAAGTGAAGATGTGTTTTACAATGATTAAAATCATTGTAATGCTGCAGATATGCAGGTGGCTGTTGAAGCCAATAAGGCTGGCCCCCATCAGTGAAACTATGGCCTGTAATAGAACATGATGCTTATTTCCTCTCAGTGAGGTACATGTTTCCTGAAGGTTTCTTGTACATTGTTTTATAGAAGAAGTACCATTCAAAGAGAATCAAGCTATGACGTTCGACTGTAATCAGCCTGCACTATGAATTTTTTTATGTTTGACTGTGTAATACGTTCAGTGACCTGATGAGATTGTCACAGCCTAACAGAGGAGGTTGTAGATCACACACAGGCCCAGGAACAACGGGTAAAGCCAGAGCGTTTCAGACCTGGCACAAGCTGTGTACCGCTGGCTATAAAACATTTAAAAACTTCAAACATCACTTCCTCATAATTATATCACTTCCATTATACATGTACATGTACATGTAGATGCTTACCAAGTCCATGGTCTTGGCAAAAGAACCGTCCAAGAGTGAACTGTACAGAAGCAGCGTCTCGTCAAGGTCCCAGATGAAGATTTTCTACAGAAGCCAGAGCAAACACTGTGCATGTCATGCTGTGCCCGGGCCATCAGAGTTATGCAAGTGTACTAGAATTAGTTATGCAAGTGTACTAGAATTCAAATAGGTTATAGAGGTTACTCCATACCCTCATGTTCTGTTTATGTGTTTAACCATGACACACAGTCATTTCATTACATCATCGTTTGGTCATGTGCATGACATGGTGCATATTTTGTGACATCATCACATGTTAAGGTGCATGGTACATATTCCATTGATGTAACGTCGACGACATCATACTTCAAGTAATCATAGTCCGGCGATGTGCGCGGTGCATACTCTACAGATTGACAAGATGTGTGATGTAAACCAATATGGAGCTAACTGTTAGCTGCATGATGCTCAGTATGTATGCAGGATCATCCCGGGCTTCTGCTGGGTGATCGCAATATCACGGGGTAGTTTCTTTTTCTCATTATGCGGCAATGTCACTGGGCATAGCAAAATTGGAGAACTTAGTGCTGTTTGTGCAACATGTTATGCAATGCACAGAGCACACTTCAAACGTGTAAAGACAATGTTGAGTACAGCGTAACTCACTCTGCCGGGATCGCCATCATCCACAGGCTGCGACTTCCTTCGGCGTGGCCGCCCGGAGTCGAGCGTGTGCATTCGCATGCCCTGCGCATGCGGGTGCTGGTGCGGCTGGTGCTGATGCAGCTGGTGATGGTGTGCATGTTGGTGTTGCAGGGGCATTGTACCAGTGGCCGCGTACGTGTCTGATTGGACCAGCGGTGAGGTCGGTGATACACGCACGTCGCGTACCTGGTACGGCGGAGTGTTTGGAGTGATGAGGTACGGTGCGGGATGGTAGCACGTCGTCGTTGTGACCGGGTTGAGACCGGTGGCTTGTTGCATTGCACCACTGGCAGTCGTGGCGTGTCTGTATCCCGGCGCAGTTGGAACGGCATGAAGAGTTTGAACTGCACCCGCAGTTTGCTGACTTGCTAACGGGTAGACTGACACCTGGTGCTGTGAACATCAGCAAATCAGTGAGCACCAAGGCCAATGAAAGTTGGTAAGTGCAGACCAATGGATGCATAGTGCGTAACAACATGCTCTCCTGGCTCAAAACAAACACAAGAACCCCTCACTCAGTTTCAACCACACATGGTTCAACCATATTTGACACAATTGTTTCCTCCAAGGGGCACATTTGGGCATCCAGATATCATATTTATGATGGACTCGGCAGCTTATGATCGAATACTGGTAATGCTACGACATGGAGGCAGTAAAACATTGAGACAGTAAGGTAAAATGAGGTGTAGCATGCTATAACCTCAAGGTTTCCTTACCTGCTGTGCTGGGTTGGCCACGGGCACGACTGGTGTTGAGGAGCCATACACTGGTGTAGGCGTGTATCCCTGAAAGTATGTTCTCATCGGCGACGGCTGAGTGGTTGATGTGTGTTGTGCGGGCTGCTGTTGATGATGCTGGTGGTAAATGGCCGAGACATGTGCAAGACTGTATCGCTGCGGGGACATGACTTCACTTGCGTCCGACAGTTTCTGGCTCCTGTCACTCTCCGAGGGTTGAGCAAGATGGCGGCGCTTCACCAATGATTCTTCAAATAGTTTCTCACCAGCTGGAGAATGCTGTTGCTCGGGAGAATTTACCAGAGGGGCAACTAGTGGAGATGCAATTGTAGATTGTGCAAGTTGACCAACAGACTCAGCTGTACCAAGACCACCACCGGTTACAACAGAAGAGGCACTAACATCTGCATGCTGCTGCTGTTGCTGCTGCTGCTGTGACATCAGTTGTTGCTGATGCGGCTGTTGTGGTTGTTGCTGTTGCTGTTGTGGCTGTTGATGTTCTGGCTGCTGTTGTGACGACTGCTGGTGCTGCTGGTGCTGGTGGTGGTGGTGGTGGTGGTGCAGTGGGTGCACATCAGTCCTGGTGAAGGTTTGTGCGACCTGTCCACTGCCCGGCATAGGCCAGACAAAGCACGTGGCCTGCGCTTGCGCCTGCTCCTGTGGAGGAGTTTGATATGCCATTGACCCGATAGCCACAGTTGTGTCTTGCTGAGACGCAGTCCACTGGCCAGTCACAGGTACTGCGGTCGCTCCCGATGTGGAATACGATGACGTTGGGTACTGCTCAGTCGTCTGTGTTTGCTGGTATGGCACTGCTGCAGGTGGAGAGGGTAACATGGATGCCATGAACAAACTACAATCATGCACACTGAGTATTGGTGCAAGCGCCGCTTTCTCTCATTCCCTTAGCCAAAGTGGACTGGATCAAGGGAGGGTTGTGCTCACAATCGACGACACAACGCGAGCAAATGGGGTCAACAACCAGACTACGTGCAACAGTGGTGCAACAGAGGAGCAACATTGATAACTTACAATGGCAGAAACTTGCTCACACACAAAACAGTTCCCATGCGGCATCAGGAAGCAGGAGCAAAGGCTGAATAACATTAACCTGGTTTTACCATGTTCTCGGCTTGCTGAACCATACGAGGATCATTTGGGATGTCACATCTGTTTCCTTGCCGCCTTCTACCAGAGTGTTGCTGATATACACTTTTTCTACCAAGTGTGGTTGTAGCTCAAGAGGATGCCCGTTGAGGGCAGACACCTCCAGTTTTTTGGCAAGACGTTTCAGGCACAAAACAAGAATGTGTACAAATGCACGCATGCGTGATAGGTCGCAACCTGCGCAGTCCGCACGCGGACCCAGCACACATGTTCTAAAAGCCTAGTAAAAGGGGCACGGACAACACGTAGGTGAGGAATTAACTATACCTGCTGTTTGGGTCTCTGCTTGTCCACTCATCGTCTGACCTTGAATGGCACCAGGAATATACGCCATAGTTTGCTGGCCACTGCTCTGGTAGACCGGATAGGATGCGGCGTGCGTAGTCCTGGTTACGTGTGCTGCGGTTGCCTGGGCAACGGGGCTGATGATGTTGGCGGCTTGCATTAGCTGCTGTGCTGGTATAATCTCTCCACTGGCTGCTGCCACATTGACTGCTCCCGTCCCAGCACCGTACTCTGGCCGGTTGATGTACCTTGCCTGGGGTACAGCAGCCGCCATTGTAACCATCGGATGAAGAGATAGTGCTGCTGTTGCTGCTGCTGGTGCCGACAGGTTAGAGTCCCTGGTTAGTCAAGGAAATTAGAAAATAGTTTGTAAATACACACAGTCAAACTTTGGGGAGCCTCCAGACCAGAACTTCTTACTCTTTGCTGTAGTTCTACGGAGGCTCCAGGCACCAATTTACCGTGAATAATAATTAGGTGTAGCGACACACTTTCTCAGCTCATCATGTATTGCAGAAATCACCTGTACAGTTCTTCAAAACCACCAGGAAGATAAGCATGTGGTCGTCACCGGCGAGCCTTATCTTGAATGAAGCACCAGGTGTTTGAAAGTCGCCACCTTCATTTATTCTCCTCCCTTGCAATATTGCCTTTGGGATAAAATTGAGTTGCAAGCAGATGGCAGACAGCCAAGACCTGTCCAAGGCATTTATAGCACAGAGTGGTTTTGTCTAGGAGTGGTATCACACATGTGCATGTACTGGGGTAACCGTGGGCTCATCATCGTGACCCGACATTCGATATTGGGTGATTTTGCATAATCGGCAAGCCCTTTGTGATTCTCACTGAATGTGGCCAAATATGCAGCAGGAGTGGCAAAGGGATTGATGCATGCATGCCCACAGTGAACTTTCCAACACCAGGGAACACAGGAGGGAACACTGGCCACCAGCGCTTATGTCACTGACATGTTCAGGGTAGCTATGCGTACGCACCCCACAAGTCTATGTACGCACAGTAAGATCAAGGCGGCCGGGCACTTCTCTGTGACTGGTTAGTGCCCTCAGTCACACCTACAAGCTGGTAACCGGAGTTTTTGTCACGGCTGGTAACAAACTACAAGTAGAGGCACTTGCCTGGCCACTTCCCGGCAAAGTGGATGCCTACGCAAGAAACTGAAGCAGCCCCCATCACTTTTGTCCGGTGCAATTGTAGTTGCAGCACTGGCAGATCAGGAGTTGAGTCAACTGTTTGGTTTCAAGTGTTGTGTGTGTACGCTGCGTTCCCTCTGTGAGATCTTGTAACAAGTGAGCTACAGCTGCTCTGCAGCTAGCGTTTCAGTTGCGCTCTGCAGTGCCGAACAAGTACCAGCGCCTTTACCGAATTCCACTGCACTTGGTGAGCGACGCAGCTGAAAGTCTTGTCTCCGCATTAATTGAGACGTGATGGCGTGTGGCCATTGGTGGCCAGCTACTCTTTGCTTGAGACCGGCCGGACACATGCATCAATGTCTTTGTTCTCTTCCTGATGTCCACTGACACGTGTGCTACCTCGTAGCCACAGGGCAAATTCACATGATCTGTGTTGCGGCTCCAGCCAGTCTAGGAGAACTTCAAGCTACTAGTAGTAGTACTCACTCGTCTCAACTCTCAACCAGCCGGCAAAGCTATTTTCCACACCAACATCTCAAAGTGCACACCATCAGAATAGAACAAAAAAGGTAAATTTACATCTAGTGCTTTTAGGGAACCGTCATAACGACACCAGAATACCAAGTTTTTGTTTAGCATCGTCCTAACAACGCAGGAATGTGCATTATCATGAGTCATAGCTCGACTACCAAACAGAAGCCTAAACTGGCGAACACCTCTTGGACAAAGAGAGGTGACTCGATTCATGGCCGGTTCATTGAAATCGAGGAGCTGCAAATTCGACACACTCCGTACAAAAGAATCATTATCCAGGCTGCCTAACTTCATCCAAAAATTCCAATCCTTTCTGGTACTGAACAGTACTGAACTATGCACCCAAGCGTTATCTCCTACTCATTATCAGGGTGAATTATTTATCTGTGGAACCTGGCACACCCACACTGATCAGGGTAAACACCGACTGTTCCATGTTTTATCAATCAGCGGCAACAATGCTGTCCCATACAAGGAACTTGTTTTAGACTGAACCTAATCTCAAGTCTGACGCACACCAGGGAATATTCCTCTGACAAGCCGTGACCAAGTTGAATTGCGACATGTACGTAAACAATACGCTGGCACAGCGTTCTTTGCTGCGATATCCCCCATGGAGAAGCTGTCAAAGTATGGATAAGCAAACACGCTCAAGACTTCACACTTTCTGATCTTGGACTGCCCGTTTGCGCACTCCTACAGTGACCAACTACCAAAGCAAAACTTGGCGCGAAGATGTTGGCGGATGTTCCCCGCTGCGTACTGTCCCACAGCACGCAAGCATATCCACCAACATGATCAGGACAGCACTGGACTGCGGTGTCGAAGGACATTGTCATGTCAGACGATCACATTACAATGGCAGTTGTAAGTATAACCGCGCATCAAGCTGAGATTTGCTACTCATGTACCAACACGCACTGTTTACCCATGCATTCTCGATGGTCTGTTGCAGCTAGCTGGGTCAGTAAGCCCGGTTACAAGACTGACGCAAACAATCACATTGTGAATCCACGTCCTGTGGTGTCAGCACAGCCGCATCCCTCGATTTGCCACCGACGGATGGATTGTCGCAAGACTGCTCCCAGCGTACTCGCACTATGGCGGGCATTCCTCGGAAAGGGAGCCATGCATTATCGGGATGGGTTTCTACGAAGTTTAGACTGAATGCATATCCCTGACGCCCAATAGATCTGCATACCGTACTACTGGCAGCCATGGGATGATGTGCGCAATTATAATTTAGAAATACCAATACAGATACTTCAGGCAACAGTACTAGGTGCGGATGCTGCGTTGAAAAGAGCTCTTCCAGCGGGGTTAATGGTAGGTACTCGTACGAGATAGTACTGATACCTATTCCATGTCAGTTTACCGGTTTCTGAGCATGGTGACTAGAAATATTTCAGGAATTGAAATTGGAAGGTCAGATAGCTGAAATACCAAGCTTGAAGTATTACCTCACACCTTTTCACCACAGCTAGAGAGAGAGGGAGAGAGAACCTAGCCACAGGAAGCTGTCATTGTACATACGACTGTTTGCGGGCAATGAAGCGGAAAAGGTGCGCCTACTAGAACTTTTGTATGAAATTGGTTTATCAGTAGGTCGATGGGGCAGGCAGGGTAGGGATAAATGACCACCAGTTCATGCTGTTATGAGCACATAATGCATGGAACACAGCAACAAGTGTGTTTCCGAACAGTGAACCAACAACGAAGCGGAAATCGAGACTCAAGTACGAGCACAATCCTCTGTAGGATGACGTTTCTAGTGCCCAGCCCCGTGTCCATCACTCCAATATCAAATATCCCGTGAAAGTGACCAGTGACGGGTTTTTGAATAGTTCCACCTGATGGAGCCATTTCTAGCTGGGTGTGGTGGCTGTATGTTCAACCTCTATCACTCTACTTTGAAAGTAATCAAAGGAGCTTTCCATTGAACAATGCCTGATTATTCGATCCCTCAACAACTCAACAATGACCGTCGACAAAGCCGCATACAATCATGGGAAGGAGGAAGATAAGAGCCGATATTGTGCCCCCCCCCCCTCCACCTCATGCTGCGATGCCCTGCCTAATGGCGTCTGGCAATCCAGCAGAACAATCTCAGAGGCACGAAGGCAAGGTCCACATGCATTGTGATGTGGTTACACTCCCACAGCCCATGCTGGGTGACACACCTCACTCAGAGAAAGCAGCTAGAAACTAGCCTGCCTGACATCAGCCTGCGTGCCCCACCAACAACTTCTCATTCCATCCAGCACCCCCATTGCTATCCTATCAATCCTTTCACTGCATAAAACAAGCCTATCACACAGTGGCTAAGGTTCAAGTATGGAAGGCACTGACCTCACTGCCCCCATGCCCCAAACCAAGTCCTACTTCTGGTGGAGAAGGATGTGAAAGATGATATCCTTTCCCCCCAACTGCGTCCGAAGGGCTTTGTGACAGCTCGAACCAAAACGTGTTCCATGTAGCAGGGGTAATGATGCTTTGGCGTCCGTTAATCAGACGCCTTCCAAGATGACAACTACTTTGCAAGAAATGTAGCATCGTGCCTATGTCGGACTCTGGAAAGAATTGCAGAAAATTCCTCTGCATTGCGCTAGTGGTTGGGACGTTGTCTATTATATGTCCCCAGGAGGGGGGGGGGGGGGCAGTGACACAGAACACTGGAAGAGTAACACTGTTGCCACTGTGAAGAATGCAATGACCAGAATGCAGGATGTCCGACATTCGCACACGAATGGGAGTTAATGCTCCGAATAGTAGGTGCTGAGTTGTCTAGTCTAAGTACGAACGTGACTGTCAGCAGTCATAAGCCAATGGTCACTCCGACAAGTCACAGTTCAAAGGAGAAACTCCGGGGTTGTGAGCGCTAACAGTCTTTTTCGTTTCATCACAATTTGTTGTTCACGTTCGGTCTCCTTTACAACAGTAACCTGATCTTAACTGTGTTTTTAGGGGGAAGTAAGTGATTCTACTTACCAACTACATGGTCACAACTATCATACATGCCAGCTTACACAACTCCTATTTCAAAATTGCCCACCCACTGACCAGAAGTGCTGTCCCCCCCCCCCCCCCCAAGAGCTGGTTGTGAACAATACAGAGACGGTATGTAAGTTTCATTGATGGCCGTGTATTAGGCCTAACGTGTATGCTGTGGCAATGAGTCTAGCAGATGAAAATGGTCTTACATGTATACACCATGTTTCAAATGAACATGGTACTTGTCTTGTGCACACACACTCACACACAATGCACCCACAGCACACACACAACACGAAACACACCCACAATACAATACAAAACACAATGCACATACAGAGGCAGCATTATGATCATGCATGTGCAGTTGTGCAGTTGTGCACACAGTGCACAGCAGCTTGGCTCTTACCTGGACTGGTTGACGACTGCAGCACTACTGTCGGTGAAAGCTGTGCCTGCCTGGCACACACTACCACTCTCCTGTAATGTGCCAACCAATGGAACAACCTGGAAGTGAGTCAACACACAAAGCAGCCGACATGCCGTATAGTTATAGAACAACAGTCCTCCTCGATAACTAACTTTTCCTTCCCTGAAGCATTACAGGCCTCCCGAAGGCATTGCCACTGCCCACGGCGACAGCCAGCAGGACAACTCTCACACCATGACGCATTGCCTGAGGCTAGGGTGACATGCCATGTAGTGGGTGAAACAGAATGGTCATGCTACACATACTCTCTTGCATGCCATATGTAGCAACTCCTTCAAGCATACGAGCATACTTAAAATCACCTATATAGTTGAACTCACTGGGAGCATCCACATTGTTGAGTCAATGCCTTTTGGCAGGTGATATTGAACTACAAATAATGAAACTGTCCACAAACAACAGCTGCAGCACAGGACTAACTAAAACTCTAGAAGGACGTCAGAATACTGCCGTTTTCTATAGAGTTTGCTTTGACCAACGCTACACACAGCAACTGTGGACTGCATTGCAAAACTCATTCCTCTCTTTTTGAGAGTACAGTGTGAGCAAGAAGAAAGATGCTGAGCATTGCTGCTGTGAACTAAGCAGTGGCATCATGTTGGATGCTTTCATTCCGGCAAGAAAACCATTATATAACTAGTCTTTCGGAGGGTGATACTTGGTCAGCCTCTGCCTGACACGAACCGTGACCCCAATCCTCGATCGGGTGTCAAGGGAGTCTTTCTACAATGCCCTGCTGACTGTACTCATTGTTACGACTAACACTCGGAGTGCTTGAAAACTGAAATCTGAAGAGGACCATCACCATTGTACGCTGGCAGTACAGTCGTTCCTCAGCAAAGTCTAACAGTCCAGGCGCTGTGCCATATACAACGTGTAATGACAAACAACACTTGCACTGCTACGAAGAAAACAAATCAGCCAGCTAATACACATTTCCTCTCTGCTGTCACTTAAGCAGAGCAAACATCATTATAGCCTGGAAAGGTGATATACACAAGTCCACACTTCTGGATATTCCAACTAAGATCTCATGAAATACTAGACTTGATTGATAATATTTTCTCCTGGAGACACAGTCGATTAGGTTA